TTCTTCTTCTTCTTCTTCTTCTTCTTCTTCTTCTTCTTCTTCTTCTTCTTCTTCTTCTTCTTCTTCTTCTTCTTCTTCTTCTTCTTCTTCTTCTTCTTCTTCTTCTTCTTCTTCACGAATTGCACCTTTATAAGGCTAAAGGAACTGTTTCGTGGAGAGTGGACCCCAGTGGGATTCAAGTTAGATCGATCACCTGCTGTTCAATTAATTCGACAGTTACAAGATGGAGTCAGTTTATATATTTTCACATTAATTACAACTCATATTAGGTCTTTAGTGAAAAGGTGGGAGAAGTGGTTTTGATGTGTTCTTTCCAGTCTGCAAAGTCTTTTTGATGCTTGAAGGTGGGGGTGTTCTCAATTAGATTCCCCCTTGAGTCAGTGGTGCTGCTTCTGGTTGCCAATGAACGTTAGTTCTGATTATCTGTAATCAGGGGCTGAACCCATAATCCTCTGCTCACAAATCAGTTGTTCTAGTCTCCAGAAATGCATAATGCATCATAAGCTGAGTTCTAATATATGTGGCATTTATTATGCACGTGAATGTCACATACACAGGGTGTTCTCACCTTTGGCTACCTTCAGCCTGACCGTAAAAGACCTCATCTTTGCTTCCTGATTAAAAAAAAAAATCAAAACTGGCCATTGGGAAAGCCAAAGTATGATGCTTTTGTGTTGAATTAATGCTAGGGAGGAGAAAGAAAAGGGGTGATTCTTAGAACTTTTTCTTTCTCCTCTAAAACAAGAGAATCGAATTAGCTCCCCAAATATTTTAAGTATTGCCCCTGAACCATAAAATGGAAAGTTGATCTAAAGTTCATCCAGAGCATACGTGACATGTTGATTCTGAAAAATCCCTTGTACTTGCTAGCTACTTGGTGAAAGAAGTCCATATAAACCCTTTTAAAATAATTACATATTTTACACAATGACAGATGATTCGATCTTACCTTGAAGGTGGCTCTCCTGTTTGTAATGGCTCAACTCACACTGGTTCAAGTCACACGGGATGCAAGATTCATACAGGGTCCATTTAGTGTGTGAGACCTGGATTGCCCTTGTGGTAGCCAGAAATGTTTCAATCTCGGCTTGCAGAATTTCACTGACACTCGAGTTCAGAAGGGTTTACCGGAAGCTGCTGAAATAATTGCTCATACCCTAAATAGAAAGAGAGGCATTTAATATTGAGGTGTTTTATGTGGCTTCTTTTTCCTAGGTAGATTCTGAGTTGGTTTCTCCACCAAGAAAGGGTTACTCACAGGCTTAATTTGAGAGCCTCCAATGAAGAGCTGCATCAAGCAGATAACCATTACTGGCATTTATTATCCACCCTGCTAACAGTGTTTTTAGTACTTATTTTCTGTCTTGCTGAGATAAGGAATAACGTCCTACCTCCCTGTGTGTGTGACACTCCCCCCTCCCTCCGTCTCTCTTTCTCTGTGTGTCTCTCTTCACAGGACCTGCTGTTCAGTGTTTGTGCTCTCAATATCATCTCCACCATTGTGTGTGCGTTGGCAACGGCCATGTGCTGCATGCAAATGGTCTCTTCTGATGTTCTGCAAATGGTGAGTAAGATATGCATGTCCTCTGGCCAAGCCATAAGGGTACGGTATAAATGAGGCTTGTCAAAGATAGGATCTTTTGGGGGGGGGATTTAACCTTGGAACTGAGAAAAGTCATCATGTCATTTCTCCCCCAACTACTGTAAAGAGCGGTTAGGTGGGACTGGGAAGAGCCAGGTTCAAGCCCACCATCAACCATGGTTGAGTTGGGACCAGCCACAGATTCTCTCTCTTTCTTTCTCTCTCTCAGCCCAAACTGACTCATAAGATTGTTATGAAGAAATTGGAGAAGGCTTAACTACGTATGCTACTTTCAACTCCCAGAGAAAAGATAGAATACAAACCTATCAAATAAATGATAAGAACCTGATGACCCCCAGATGTCCATTTCACCTTATCCTCAACCACAGTGCCCTTTTGGGTCAACCAATGACCCCAAAACATTATTTAAAACAACTTTTGGGGAGAAAATGAATATACAGTGGTACCTCAGTTCACGAACTTAATTCGTTCCGCGACACTAGTCGCGACCCAATTTGGTCGCGACCCGAATCAAATTTTCCCATAAGGTTCAATGTAAATACGGTTAATCCGTTCTGACCCCTCCGAATTTGGTTGCCAACCAATTTTGGTCGCGTCCTGAATAAAATCCTGAATAAAATTTTCCCATAAGGTTCAATGTAAATACGGTTAATCCGTTCTGACCCCTCCGAATTTGGTTGCCAACCAATTTTGGTCGCGTCCTGAATAAAATTTTCCCATAAGGTTCAATGTAAATACGGTTAATCCGTTCTGACCCCTCCGAATTTGGTTGCCAACCAATTTTGGTCGCGTCCTGAATAAAATTTTCCCATAAGGTTCAATGTAATTACGGTTAATCCATTCTGAACCATATGTTGTTGTTTTTTTAAACCACAAAAATATGACACAAAGTACAGCACAAAGAGAGAGAACGCTAACCTTGCTCAACGCGACTTCTGGCGTGGAGGACAGGAAGGCGGGTGGGGAGGCGGTTATTGCTTGGAGGGAGAGTCCCCCTCCCTACAGGAAGCCACGTGTCACGGGAGGGAAAATGGCCGCGGATCCTGTTTGTCGCCCGATCCGGCGTTCGCAAATGGAAGCAAAATTTTGTGAACGGAGCTGTTCGTGACCCGAATTGGTCGTGAACAGAAGC